CTGACCTGGCCTTCCTCTGTTCAGTCAAACCACCTTCCAGTCCTGAACACAAGACATAACCCACACCACAGTGGCAAAGCAGTAGCTGAATGTCACTGACCCTCAGCTCCAAGGCCCTACTGGGCCACTCCACCAAGTCTGTTTACAAGCTAATTCATAATTTACACAAAGGATTCAGGCATGGAAGCTATGATATAAAACATTTATTGACAGAGAACAGTCTGCCACTTTAATATAATTATATTTCCTTAAGAAAACTGGTAATTCCATCTTCTTCCATCTATTTATTGAGCCTTATAGACAATTTAAGTCCTCATGGGGTGGGGGTAGGGAGTGAAAGGAAAACAAGAAGGTATCATGGGCTCGCTGAAATCTTTATCTTAGAATCCGTGATTCATAAGGGAAGATCTTGTGCACCTCCAAAGAACAGGGTGTGGTGTCACATCTCCTGTCTGTCTTGTAGAGAAAGTATTTGCTACATAGTGAATATTTGGACAACATAATACATACAGGGAACAACAAAACAGTGAATGCTGACATTTTACTGTGTATTTTAACCCTTGAAACATTGTAAAGCCCAGTGGACAGAATTTGCCCATCACTGATGAAAATGCCAAAATGAGTGTTCTGCAAGCAAATCAGGCTTCATGGTCATTCTGGCCAACAGCAGGATCACAAAGCAGGATGTAAACCTCCCACAGTCTAAGCTGCTTTTAAATAGCTTTCACAGTACAGGGCTTCACAAGCCACCGAGAATGTAGCTACCCTCTTCAACCAGTAGATGGGGCACGTCCACATGTCAAGGGTCCCCCACTGAACTGGTCTAAGGAGAGAGAAGATAAGGCCCTGCTTTCTCCTCCATGGCTGCATACCAAGCAGTCACAAAGACACCAAATGGGGATTCCAGGATACATTTCCCCCAAAGAGGCATCTGATCATTTCCCTGGCTTCTTTTTTCATTCCTATCACATGGTAAGTAAGAGGGGGTGAAGGCTGGTGAGGTTGAGGTGATGAGTGTTGACCAGTTGGAAGGGAGGAATGCATCACTCCCAGCACTTGGAAAGGGTGCTACACATATACAGCACACACCTAGTCAGTCAACTTACTCTTACTCCTGGTCTGTATGTACTGAGTTCTCCACCATTGTTAGCATGACTGGAAGTGGATGCTTCATCTCTCCTGGGTACCGAACAGAAACTGGGCACACTCTGCAAAGTATACCATCTACGGGAGCTGTAGCCACTGGGAGTGTGCAAATGGGGGTTACAAGGACTTCCAACTGTGATGTGAGCTAAAAGCCAGTGAAATGATTGGAGAAATTGGGAGGTGGGGCCCTAGTGAACCTTGGGTGGTCTGGAAGCCCTCTCTGCCAAAGCAACACTGAAACCAAGGTGTGAGGACTGTAGGGAGCAGAGCTCCCTAAAGGGAGTTGTAGGGAAAACAATTCGGAAGGAAATATTGTGTGTGCTGGGTAGCAAGCTGGAGCATTCTTGACACATGCAAGGAGTAATGGAAACAAAGCCAGGCTGGTTGTTGGTGATGGTGGAGGTGCTGGCAGAGGAAGGAATGAATGTAAGTGAGGGGCCAAAGTCACTTGTCTGACAGGGCAGTGAGTGTCTCTGGCTCTGATGAACTGATGTGCACCCCAAAGGAAACACACGCAGATGGACATGTGTATGCACATCACACACATGCACTCCCCCCAACATACATATACAAATGAGTATTCATTCACCACACATGCACACACATACACACGTATGCACACACACAAATATGCACATACACATACACACATGCAAATGGGTACACAAACATATATATATACACACAAATTAGCATGAGCACACATAAGCAGATGAGTATGCATATGCACACATACACACATATACACACATGCTCATGTGTGATTATAGAGTGCTTAGTTTTCTAGGTGCTGCTTTCTGGTTCTTACTAACATCTCCTTTTTACAGAAGAGGAATCCAGAGCACAGAAAGGTTTGGTGACTTGTCCCAAGTCCGACAGTTTGTAGGTCCCCATTTGACAGCCCAGCAGTCTGATTCCAAAGCCATGCTCTGAACTTCCATATTTTCAGGTGCATCCTTAGATTTCGATATTACTCTATATACTTTGGTGCAAGTAAGCCATCTAGACTATTTAGGGGGAGGATATTGTTTTGGTGGCAGAGAGGGTCTAAATATGACAATCTACAACTTGATGATGAGTAAAAGACTAAACAGATCGAGTACAACATCCTAGTCGCCTAACCACTCTGGCCGGATGCCACTACCTTCGGTCTGGGTTTGAGACATGGTACATGAGAAATCAGCGTACTGGATGTCTCTGTGAAGTTTTGAACAAATGCAAGCCCTGTCTGTCCAAACTCTCCTCAGCTTCAGAGGTCTCCATAGCCTGATTCCTCCTGCCAGCTCTGCAGACATTCCAGCAAGGAAGACTGAGGGGGCAAGCAGCAGCCTGTTGTGGTCCTTTAAGAAGCCCGATAGTCTGTGTGTTTCACACATGCACCCAAGGATCCCTGAGCCCAGTCAGAACAAATACTGTTGCCTTTACTACCTGCTTTCCATTTCCGTTTCAGGTATGGAAAGAAAGGTTTCTGCTACCAGCTCACCTGCCACCTGCCACCGATGACGTATTTACAAGACAACTAGACAACTCTATACCCACCCTTCTGTGTCCAAAGGGAGCGGAACAATGGGAAGAAAAGTGTCCTAGCAAGATGCTAAAACAAAAAAAAATGAGTTGGGAATGTAGCTTAGTTGGTAAGAGACCTAGGCTAGGATACCCAAAGCCTGGGTGTGATCCCCAGCACCTCAAAAGAAGAAATGGTGGTGCACTTTGTCTCAGCACTGGCGCAGAAGAGACAGGAGGGTCGGGTATTCAAGATCATCCCGGGCTATATGAGACCCTGACTCAAGAATGAACAAATAAGTAACTGCAAAACCACAAAAATCAGAACAATTTACACAAAATTTCTCAGACCAAGGAATGCGTTTGCACATTTTCTGGCCTACCTAAATTATAAGTACCACTGATTATAGCCACTGATTTATTGACATGTAGAAGCCCCAGAGGAAAGGACATGCTCACACCCTGGCATGGTGCTTGTAGGCAGATCCCATGTTCCTTGCCTTCCTTCTTCTCTAGGCTTTTTAGAAGCTTTGGGGGCTGGCAAGATGGCTCAGTGGGTAAAGGTATTTCTATCCCCAGGAACCGTATGTTGGAAGCAGAGAACTGATCCTCGCAAGTTCTCCTCTGACCTCCATGGGGCAACTAGGCATGGGTGTATCTTGCCCCCCACCCCCAATAAATAAAATGCAATTAAAAAATATATATATATATATAAACAGAAGTTGCCATTTTTTTATGGAGTTCATATTCCCAGCATTCATTCTTAATAAAAGATGAATTATCTATACAGAGACCCAAAGCTCCCAGGGCCAGAATGAATATTTGAGATGAGCCAGCCAAGCTATGCAAACAGTTGTTGATTTTGTTGGAATCCCTTGTAAATTTCACTTTCTATTTGTTGGATTTTTCCATGTAGGCCAGGAGGCTCAATCAAACCTGCCTTACCTTAAGGAGCAGTAAATAGGGGCCTCTTGCCCCTCCACCTTCTAACTACTGAGGGAGAACAATAATGCCTTGGGACTGACTTAGAAGTGACTTCCGCTTTGTCTGAATTTCATGAAAATTTTGTTTCATTCCTCTTGGACTTTGGGTGGCTGGAGTATTTCACACCCACGGTTTCCTATCTATCTTATTCTACAGACAGGGAAGGTATAGTAAGAGTATTTATTTCTGGCTGTCATAGTCACAGCAAGGCAAGCTTGCTCAGGTATCAATTCTAGCTGGAGATGATGGTGCTAATCCTATAGATCGTTGTAAATAACTAGGTGCCTGTGCACACTAAACGTCTAGAAAAGCGTTTGGGTTGACAAATGCTTGCACTGAATTATACTGCTTTAATCTACTCTCAGTTGCAGGGAGGCGGAGCAGGTAACATCATATTCATGGAAGAAGTGGACATTGTAGTTTAATGTTCTGTGGAGAATTCCCTTCCTTATATAAATCTCAAATTTATGAAAAGTTAAATCACTAAAATCCAAAGGTCATTAAAAGATGTTTTTAAAACTAGAAACTATGATTTTGAATGAAGTACTTTTTAACCTCCAAGATAACGGTTATAAACACGTTCAGAGAGGTTGAGTGGCTTCCCAAAGCAACACAGCTAGTGAGAAGCAGAGTCAGGACTGAAGTCAGATTTCTCATGTGCAGTATCTACTGCATTGCTGTCTGTCCAGCCAGCTAAGAGAATCAATCACCATCCATCCCACCTGTCCCCAGAGAAACCCGGAGCTCCACTGGAACTTGGGCATAGGCAGGGGTCGTCTAGAGCCACCTGTGTAGGTAGAACTCTCATGCGCAGTATCTACTGCATTGCTGTCCAGCCAGCTAAGAGAAGCAATCACCATCCATCCCACCTGTCCCCAGAGAAACCCGGAGCTCCGCTGGAACTTGGGCATAGGCAGGGGTCGTCTAGAGCCACCTGTGTAGGTAGAAAGTGTGCTTATTCATTAGGAAGCAGCTATCAATCCTTTACAGCAACCTAGGCTGTATCTGTATTTTGGGTATCTCTCAGCAGAACACAATCAGCCATTCTTGGAGATGATTCTGGAAGCTACTGATGTTTTTCTGGGTCAGTAGATCTTTCTGAATTTATTACCAGGCTGCATGAGTCTTTGTCTAGGAATTTGTTTCCCTAGCCTTTCAAACAAAAACAAAAAAGTGTGTTTTGACTTATTCACAGAAAGTTTCTATCCTTGGCAATGAAACCAGCTCCCAAAATATAAATGACCCTGAAGTGTCCCAAGGACAGTGAGTTTACTTTCTTGACCTCTAATCTACTCATTCCTTCAGAAAGAAAGCTTCTAGAAATTTATAGTCCATGAGGAGATGTGCTATTTATTTATTTTTTCTCATGTCAGATGGGTAATGTGCCGGTATGTAACAAGGTTTGAGGGCGGCACATATCACGCATGTGCGTGAACATCCAACCATCACGCTTATGAAACACAAAAGGATTGAGATGTGCTATTTAATAATAATAATGATGATGTCACTGCAGCAGGAAGTGTGGGAATGGGGGGGGTCGTTAGCCAGGTGTGGGAGTGGACAGAGGTGGAAAGCTAGAAGGAGGACTGGATGGAAGGAAATGCCCATCTCTGTGGGCAATTCTATTTCTAGCTGCTCCTTGGAGACAAACCAATTAGTGTGGATTGTCAAGGTGGTTTGTGTGAATTGGCTACCTGCCCATGAATTGGACTGGGATTAACTTGTTCATTCCAAACACTCCACCAAACAGCAAATGGCCATATGAAAGTGATTTGCAGCCACCAGTGATGTGACTGGCTTAAAGACTCAAGGGTAAAAGACTTGATAACCTCCCAACAGACTTCAACAAACCTTATACTCCTTCAGATCTACCCACTGACCCCAAATACTCCCCTTTCACCACCTCATGATTAAAAAGCCCTCTTGACCATTGGGAAGCTGAGGGCTTTTATGTCCATAAACATATCTACCACCCCACCATGCTACCCATGGCCATTTTTAATTAGCAACACCATATATAAGTTTGCTGGCCTAGATACAAGCAATTTTCCAAGCAACAGAGGGGGTCAGGGAAGAAGAATAAACTTGGGTTCTTTAGCACACAATCAAAGGTCATATATGATATTGTGAAAAAAATTAATTAAAAAACAAAAATAATAATCCTACTTGATTATACTATATTTGGTGGGTTCTATTTGAAAAGAGAAAGTGTTAAACACCTTCATCAAAAAAATATTCTTTACTAACTCTAATATATGCATCTATCAATTTACTCGTCTGTTACCTATCATTTATCATTTATCAATCAGCTATTGCTTTCTCTACCTAGCTGTCTTTCCAGCAATCACCTATCTACCTATCATTATCATCTATCATGTATCTATCTACCCTCTATCATCTGTCTGTCTGTCTGTTCATCTGTCTATCATCTCCATCTCAGAAGTAGGCTATGGGAGATGACTGGTGCTTATCAGAACATAAGCAAAAACTGCAAACATAAAACACAACTGTCCTTCAGAAAATGTATTATTTTTTAAGATGTAGAACAAAACCCTACATTTTAATGTGGGAGAAAAAACAAGAGAATACTATGAACTGGTGCCATGATGTCTGTTTATCACAAAGTAATGGCCCAAGCTTGAGTATTGCTGATGTCAAGTGAGAATGCCATTTCTATGCCTTGTTCTTACTCAACTACAACTAGACTTAGAAAATTTAAGAAAGCACTTCATCTGAAGATGACCAAACCTGTCACATCTGTCTCCACAATGGCTAATTTTTCTTAACAAATATGCAAAACAAATGCTGAAATAATTAAATATAAGTATTTCTCAAACCTCAGGATAAAAGTGTCAATAAAACATATGTTCTATTCTGTTTCCCAGGTGACTGTCAAGTCAGCCTCCTCTATTCAAACACATGATACTGAGTATATCCTCATGTCTTCTTGCACCTGCTGCTTGTCTGCTAGTCACTGGGACTTCTCCAGGCACACGTACACAAAGGTAAACCTTCCAGAGCTGACAAATGGCAGCAGTGGGTACCACAGAGAGAGAGCGGGGAGACTTATGAATTCTATAAACTGCTTACTTGCCTAGTTTCCTTGCACAGCCTAGCTCTAAAGTTTCATCACAGGTAAGTGACTAATGCCCAATCAACCCAAGGCCCAGCAGATTTTACTGTCATGCAACTTACTCTATGATAGGAGGCTTCTTCCCAACACAGGTGTCAGGAAATAGAAGCCAATAACCACTTCATGAAGTATTAGCAGACAGAGAGCCTATTGAAATCAGGACTGTGGCACTTTACTGTGCCCCAGTCTAGCTAAAGACCTAGAACATGGTTGAAATCAGGACCGTGGCACTCTACTGTGCCCCAGTCTAGCTAACAACCCAGCGCATGGTTGAAATCAGGACTGTAGCACTCTACTACGTCTATTCCAGCTAAAGACCCAGTGCATTATGACTTTTAAAAATGGCTGAAGGAATAAAAAGGAATCTAACTTAATTATCCAAGTAGAAAATTAAATAAAATAGGTGGGCTGGAGAGATGGCTCAGAAGTTAGGGGCACTGGCTGCTCTTGCAGAGGACCCAGTTCAGTTCCCTTAACCCACATGGTAGCTAACAACTGTCTGTGACTTCAGTTCCAGCAGATCTAACGCCCTCTTCTAGGCTCTTCAGTCATTGCATGCATGTGGTACACTTACATTTATGTAGATAAAACACTCATATACATGAAATAAAAATAAATCAAAGATAAATAAAATTGAATACTATCAGGAAAAAATAGTTTGATATTAAAAACAGCATTCAGGAAACTCAGCAGGTATGTTTCCATTATACTGAAGAGTAAAGCACTGGGTGCGAAAAATGTGAAGGGCAAGGCTCTGAGCTCTAACTCAAGGGCTAAGCTCAAGCTCTGGCTTTGTAAATGGAAAAACAAACAAACAAGAAAACCTTTTTTTCATTGGTGGAGCTCAAACCTAGGGCCTCATGCACTCCAGGCATGAGCTCTGCCACTGAGCTATACTGCTAGCCCCAATTTCTTTTAGTTTTAACAGCACTGTCATGTGGTTTCTTAACATAATGGAAAAAGAACTCTAAGAGCACTTTTGATTATTTCACAGTACAACTGCCAAGCAACAAGGCACCTTTGGGGAATGTCTCTCTAACAATGAACTCCAAAGTAGAATCACAGCTCCACTGGGCTATGCTTAAGTGTGTATACTGGAGTACTTTGACATTAACAGTGGATCAACCCACAGAGTTCTTCCTTCAGATCCCTACTTCAGCGAGGGGCTTTTGTACACATCTGCTTCAGTTCAGTCCCCTAGAGATGTCTAAAATCTAATTAACCAATTAATTTGCAAATATATTCTAATTTATTCAAGGCAGATTTTCTTGCGTGTTAAAATTATCTGACAGAGAACCATAGGTAGCACACAAGAGCAGGAATTCCCTGAAGTACCACAGGTTAGCCCCACAGAATACTACGTATACTCTGGACCACAGAGAATTCTATCTCCCAAGGAGATAGGTTGCATATTGCTAAGAGCCTTTGTGAGAACTCAGGGTAACTTAGTCAGGTAACTGAGCACATTCCTAGCTATGCTTCCACAGCATCCCCTCTGTAGGGCTGCAGTAGGCATCCATGCTTGGAAGTAAGGAAATGCAAGAAAGAAAAAAAGACAATACAATGCATTTTGTCTTAGTCTGTTCTCCTGAGGTGGGAGAAGGGAAACTTAAGTTATGGGAAATGTATACTCTGCCATCCTGGGAATTATAAACTACTGCTAATTTGCATGCAGAACTCTGTTCTACAAGGCAGCCACAGCAGGTAACACTGTTTACCAGACAATCAAGTTGTAATTTACTGAACTGGTGGATTTTAAAAAAAAAAAAAAAAAAAAAAAAAAAAAGGATGTTCTTAATTGCTATATTGCACCACTTTATCCAGCTCAGTGACTGCACAGCTATAGATAAGAACTGAGAATAATACTATGCAATGTCAGGGACGATTGTGTAAGTTACAGAATGAAGAGTGTCCCAGGACACAGTTACCTGAAGTTATGGAGCATGGATCATAGCGATTTCCATGGCATGTCTGGGTAGCTGCTAATCATGTGACATTGAAAAGAAAAGCTGACTTTTTGATAATTTCGGTTTTATTCAAAATACCCTTATTTGTATTACTTGTAAAATGGAAGAGAACCACATAGAAATTTTGTGCCATACACTTTGTTGTCTTGTTTTTTAAATGTATATTCTTCTAACAATAATTAACTTCTAAGATCACCAAATATATAAATAAAATTCTAAGAAAAAGAAAAAAACTAACAAGACATACCTGCCCAGGACATGCCCGGATTCAAGGAACCAAGAAGGGATTTTACGTAATAGATTTTAGATTTTATTCAAGAATCAGAAAGACATTTAAGCATTTAATTAATTTATTTAGTTGGTTAGTTCATTAGCTAGCTAGCTAGTTAGTTATGGTACTAAGGAATGAACCCAGAGTCTTGCACACGCTGAGTGCTCTAATACCAAGCTACACCTGCAGGCCTTCGTTTTTTAAAGACAGAGTCTTGCTTTGTAGCCTAGACTGGCTTTGAACCTGTGATAATCCTGAGTCTGCTTCCCAAATCGTGTTGTGATAGCAGGCATATACTGCCACACCTGGCAAGATAAGAGTTTACTATGGTATGACTGTGTCCCTACAAATTCCACGTACACAAAGCCTAACTAACCCCAAGAATGATGATACTTGGAGGTGGAGTCTTTGGGAAGTGATGATGTCAAGAGGGTAGGCCCTTCCATGAATGAGATTAGTGCCCCATAAGAAAGACCAAAGAGATCCGTGGTCTTCTCAACCACATGAAAACACAATGAGAAGCTGGCAGTCTGTGACCTGGAAGGGGCCCCTTAACAGAACCTGCCCATTTTTGCACACAGGCCTCAGTCTGCAGTCTCTGGAATGGTAAAAACAACATTTCTGTTGTTTGCAAGCTATCTAGCTTGTGGCATTTTGTTAGTAGCTCCAGCAAACTAAAACTATTTATGATAAATATATTGACTTATCAAGTCAAAGTATACCCTGAAAGGATAACTTACTGGGCAAAATTATTTCTGACAAGAAAATTAGAATTTCCTCTGAAACTAGGAAGGGTTAAAGAATAAAAGAAAATCAGTAAATATGGCCAAGACCAGCGGAGACATACCTTCCAATGTTAGAAGAGAAGGAACCAAAGTGGTACCTAAAGGTGAGCATTCGAATAGTGATTCCCAAAGCACATCATCATCAAAATCACTTAGAAGAGATTCATGGCATGTTTCTGGTTTGCATTCTGTTTGATTTGAATAAAATGTTACCAAAACATACCACACAATGGAGTTCTCTGTCTGGAAAGATAGGAAGAGTGTCAAGTGTGAGCCCACAAGGAGTCCCAAGACAACTTCTTAGCTGTCTCCTT